ACATTACTACTGGGTGAATAGTGAATTTTACTAATCGATTAATCACACACGAACTAATCGCGATTAATCACGAGTAGTGGCAAAAATTCCGAGACATGGTGTCAACACGTGAATATGGTGCTTTCATCAGTTTCATTGCAGAAATTCTGCACAAGTATAATGCACACTATGCAGCAGCAAGTACCAAGGCAAGTTTGTTTTTCTGTGTTTCTGCTTTTATGTATTTTCATTAATTCTGAAATCTGGAAAGCCAGTGGCAGTATTCTACGTAGCTGCTATAAAATTATCACGATTATATACAGGTTATGCTGGAACGGTTGCAGCTTGAGCTCCAGTTGGTTCCGAGTACATATGACGACTACATGTGACTAAAGGCCATTTTTCAACTTCGTCTCTGTCTGAGGCTTCGTCTATAAAACAAATCCCTTATTGTAGGCCTGAAGCATTTTAATTAATTTGAAGTACTGTAATGTTTGGCTCTTTTGCATGTAACTTGATATTTTGTGGCACTGTCAGACTTCCTATGGCATTAACAACTTCAAAGTCAGGTAAAAAAAAAGACTTTGAGGCTTGCGACGGAGCTGCAGTCCACCATAAAAAACAGGATGCCTGGCCGCCGATTCCATTCTGAACGTGTATAGGACAATTTTAATGAATCTTTGTTGTGGAAGCTCTAATACAGATTGCAGATTCCTTCAGTTTCAAAATAAAAAAGATGCTAGCTTGTCTGAAACTGTTTGAATAGAATAGTTCTTGCCTTTAAACGTGGGAAAAAATCTGATTACTCAGTTACTTTTATTCCAATTTCTCACATTAAGAAGTTCTAAATAACCTCCCTAAACTTCTCAATGGTATAGCCCACAGACATTGTTGTTCAGAATTCATTCATTGTTTAAGCAAGTGAGGCAATATGAATAATTCATCACGAACCGATGGACGGATCACTGGCCAATGATTGCAGCCACAGTCTCCCGGACGTCATTTTTGCACTGCTATACTGGGCGGATATCTGGCACACTTTCAAAGATTGGGGCTGCACAGTGCATGCAATGCGGCCACGTGGTTGGGTTTCGGTGCCCGTCTGTCTCAAAGGGCATTCTGTCTGAACTTTTGAGGTCTGCCAGTGCAGTACGTGATCACATTCAACCATTACCTTGGGAAATTCTCATTTGTGTAAAATGTGTTTTTTTACAAGTGTTTTGAGTTCAATTGCGTTACGGTAGATAGAATGAACTAATCATTATAAATTATACAAAATAAGGTAAACAATACTGGAAATCAGAATTTCACAAGGAGAAAAATTGTTTCATGAACATGAAGTATGACAGTTGAGGCATTACTCATCGAACTTACCAAGCTAGTTATTCTACAAACCCTTCACTATGTGTGGAAAAAAATTATGAAACAAAGGAACTTCCAAATTTTTGTGGATGGGGCAGTAAGGCTGTGGATACAGAAGCCTTGGATACTTGCAGTTGGCAACTCTTGCTACATTTTTGGACTAAGGTTAATTGTAGGAAAGGCTAAAGTTCGTTGAACCGAACTGCCGCCAACCCAGTCGACCACAAGTCTGTCAGTGGAGACTGCCGAAATAAAGCAGGTGTGCCCTGGATCATGATCATGTACAATGTGGTAGGGTGTGTAACGTAATCGGTACTCCATAACAATCACTACTCGCATTTCTCTACAGTTACTACATGTAATCGTGCTGGCGCGATTAATCGATTAGTTGCAAATCCATGAGTCGTGAAACGAGCAGGAGGAACTAATTGCGATTAATCAAGATAATCGCCCAGCGGTAATGTACATGTATATGTGACCCTCGGTGTAGCGAGAGCCCTTTAAAAACTGGTTACAGGATTCAACTTCTCAAGTTCTTGCTGGTTTATTCTGAAAGATGAATACGGGAAAGGATACAGTTTGAAGGTGTTCCCTCAATTCCAGCAAGCAGTGGAATGAGGTAAGCCCCCCCAAAAAGGGTTCGTCCTCCGATTGCATGTACATGCCTAGGGTCGGTAGGTCGCAAAATTTTTGGGGGTCCATTTTTTTGTGCTGATGTAATGGCATGAATGAGGGCAAAACCCTCCACAAACTGTCTCAATCACGCTTCAACTACCAGCAAAACAACCTCAAATTAGACTCGTGAACACAGAAAATACATACTGTACTTCAAGTCAGGGTTCTGCCCAGGATGATTTTAGTGCCGGCAGGACTATCTAAGCGGAGCGGCACCATTGGTTGGCGCGGAGCGTACCAGAAAATTTTTGGAATCTAAAAGCCCCCAGATGGCCGGAAACAGCACTTTCTGGGTGTTTTCAGCTGTGTATACACAGCCTAGAATTAGGGATCTCATGTCTGAAATTTCTGAAATTTAATTAAACAATTGAAAATTTGTAATTTTGGTCAACTAGGATGAGGTGACAATTTTAGACGGGCAATTGAATTAGAAAAAAAAGAGAAGAAATAAATATTGATTTTATTCTGTAAATCCCTTAAATATTGAATTAATTTCTCTATGATGCCCATAATTTGTCATTGCTATTCAAATCATTTTTCATTTTTTTTTGTGTGTTGAAAATAAGGCGAAACATGCAAAATCTTGGCGGAATATTTTCCTTATTTTCTTTGTACGAAAGTTCGTACATGTACAGTATGCATATGGGACAACGACATTCATAAATGTGTGCAGGGATTTTCTGAACAGTCATTTTAAAGTCTACATGAACATAATGTAGATTGGCCATTTGCTTTTCTGACACATCTGGCCATGTGTCACGTGCATACTGAGCGCGTGTATCTTGCCATATGGAACTCGTTTACGGAAAAGGCAAAATCATGCTGTTGCTTTTGAATAAAAAAACTGCGGAGTTAATATTTTCACCGTGGGATAAACAACAATTAACGAATGCGGTGCGAT